CCCTGCAGCTCCACCCCCTGCACCCCGTTTGCAGCACCCAGAGCGTTGCACCCCCAAGGCTGGCGTCTCTGTCACCAGGGTGGCATGTCCCCTGTGTGTCTGTGCCAGGGTGGCGTGTCTGTCACCAGGGTGGCACATGTCTCTGTCACCGGAGTGGCGTGTGTTTCTGTCTGTGACCTGGGTGGTACTTTCTCTGTCTCTGTGACCAGGGGGGCATGTGTGTTTGTGCCAGGATGGCACGTCCTTCTGTCTGTCACCAGGGTGGCACATCCTTCTGTGTGTCTGTGCCAGGATGGCGTGCCTGTGACCAGGATGGCATGTCTGTCACCAGGATGGCAGGTGTCTCTGTCTGTCACCAGGGTGGCACGTCCCTCTGTGTGTCTGTGACCAGGATGGCATGCCTGTGACCAGGGTGGCGTGTGTTTCTGTCTGTGACCAGGGTGGCACGTCCCTCTGTGTTGTGTCTGTGACCTGGGTGGCATGTCCTTCTGTTTCTGTGACCAGGATGGCCTGTGTCTCTGTATGTCTGTTCCAGGATAGCGTGTCTGTGACCAGGATGCCACATCCCTCTGTGTGTCCGTGCCAGGATGGTTTGTCTGTGACCAGGGTGGCACATCTGTGACCAGGGTGGCACATCCCTCTGTCTGTGCCAGGGTGGTGTGTCTGTGACTAGGGTCACGTGTCCCTCTGTGTGTCTGTGACCAGGGTGGCACATCAGTGACCAGGCTGGCACATCCCTCTGTGTACCCATGACCAAGCTGGCATGTCCCTGCAGGGCTGGCACCTCCTTCCCCACACCTGTCCCTGCCCTGTGTCCCCTACCCTGTCCCCCCTGGTGTCCCTGCATGTCCCCACGCCGCCAGCCTGCACTGCCACCCCGGGGAGGGTGACACACGGATGTGGTGGCTCTGAGGCAGAGAAGGAAACGGGGGAAGCAGCTCGCACAGAGAGCCGTGGGGTGGACGGGCACCGGCTGCCCCTCAGAGTGACGGTGGGGACGTGGTGACGGTGGGGACATGGTGACGAGGGGGTCCCCTGCCACAGGTGCTGCGAGTGCGGGGCCTCCCTGTCCCACCAGTACTATGAGAAGGATGGGCGCCTGTACTGCAAGAAGGATTACTGGGCGCGCTTCGGGGAGCTCTGCCACGGCTGCTCCGAGCAGATCACCAAGGGGCTGGTCATGGTGAGCACCTGGGGGGTCCCCAAGGGTCCCCAGAGGGACACACACCACCCTGACCCAAAGCTGAGCTCCTTGGAAAGGGGGTGAGGTGGGGAGGGGGTGCAGGTCACCAGCACGGGTTGGGCTCTGGGGGTGGCAGGGGTGTCCTCTGCCTTTTAGGGGGACACGGGGAGTGTGTGTGCCCCCATGTTGGGGCTGGGGGAGGCTCAGGGTGGTGGGGAGATGTCCCTGCAGCTGTCCTCGACCCAGTGGCATGACTGTCCCTTGCCATACCATGACTCAGCCTGGTTCACCCATGGGTGCTCCCAGCACCATCTGAGCAGATCACCAAGGGGCTGGTCATGGTGAGCACTGGGGGGGTTCCCCAAGGGTCCCCAGAGGGACATACACAGCCCTGACCCACGGCTGAGCTCCTTGGAAAGGGGGCGAGGTGGGGAGGGGTTGCTCAGGGTGGTGGGGAGATGTCCCTGCAGCTGTCCCCAACCCGATGGCATGACTGTCCCCTGCCATACCATGGCTCAGCCTGGCCTTCCTTTGGCCCTGGTGCACCCATGGGTGCTCCCAGCACCATCCGAGCCCCAGACGCCTGGGTCCCTGGGGCTGATGGCATCTGCCCACAGGTGGCTGGGGAGCAGAAATACCACCCCGAGTGCTTCAGCTGCCTCAACTGCCGCACCTTCATCGGGGACGGGGACACCTACGCGCTGGTGGAGCGCTCCAAGCTCTACTGGTACGTCCCAGCCTGGGTGGGCGGATGGGGGGGGGACGGGACACGTGTCCCCTGGTACCCCCCAACCCACCCGCCTCCTCCTGGCCCCGCAGCGGCCACTGCTATTACCAGATGGTGGTGACACCGGTCATCGAGCAGATCCTGCCGGATTCTCCGGCATCCCGCATCCCGCACACCGTCACGCTTGTCTCCATCCCCGCCTGCTCCGACGGCAAACGTGGCTTCTCCGTCTCCATCGACCAGGGCTGTGGCACCGAGCACCCCCGCACCGTCCGCGTCCGAGAGTGCGTCCTTGTCCCCCCTGCCACCGTCCCCTCCCCAGGGCTGAGGGCATCCCGTGTCCCCTCCTGCCACTGGGATCCACCCCTCGGGGTCTTTTTGGGGCGGGAGGGTGAGGGATGGGGCTGGTGTGTCCCCATCAGCTGGGGGTGGCCAGAGGGCACCGTGGTGGTGTGTCCCCATCAGCTGGGACTGTGGTGGCATGTCCTCAGCCATCAGGGTGGCTTGGGGGTGACGTGCTGGTGTTGCCCCATCTGTCAGGTTGGGCTGTGGGTACCGGGTTGGTGTGTCCCCCCATAGGATGCTCAGGTTGGCTGGTGGGTACCGTGCCAGCATGTCCCCAGCCAGGAGTGGTGACTCGTGGGCAGCGTGCCCGTGTGTCCCCATCTGGTAGGGGTGGCCTGTGGGCAGCGTGCCCGTGTGTCCCCAGCTAGCAGAGGTGACTCACGGACACCGTGACTGCGTGTCCCCATCCTGGAGGGGTGACTCGGGGGTACCATGACAGCATGACATCAAGCAAGGGTGGCTTGTGGGCAGCTTGCCTGCATGTCCCCGACTAGCAGGGGTGGCTCGTGGGTACCCCATCCAACAGGGGCGTGCATGTCCCCAGCTGGTAGGGGTGGCCTGTGGGCAGCTCTCCTGCACCTCCCTGTCTCACAGGGGTGACTCGTAGGTACCATGACAGCGTGTCCCCATCTCCGCCGTGACTTGCAGGGGATGTCACAGCCTGTCCCCATTGGCTGAGGGTGGCTTGTGGGCGGTGTCCCGGCACATCCCACCCGTGACAGTGTGACAGTGTCGGGGGGCTGACCCCTGCTGCCTGCTGGCCCCACAGGGTAGATCCAGACTGCATCAGCCCTGACATGAAGAACTCCATCCACGTTGGCGACCGCATCCTGGAGATCAACGGCACCCCCATTGGCCATGTCCCCCTGGATGAGGTACACCACCCCCCCCGGGGTGTCCCCTGAACTATGGCACCCCCCCCTTTCCCTCCAAAACCACCCTTGCCATCCTCTCCTGCCCCCAGATTGACCTGCTGATCCAGGAGACCAGCCGCCTGCTCCAGCTGACCATCGAGCACGACCCCCATGAGCCCCTTGCCCACGAGCCGGGGCTCGCCTGCAGCCCCCTGCCCGCGGCCTGCAGCCCCCTGCGCTCCCCGGCCCCCCAGCCCTGCGCGGAGCCCAGCGCCATGCGCCAGCGCACCGTCACGTAAGGCCACCAGGTCACCCCCCTCTCCCTTTGGGGTCCCTCCTCGGGGTTCACCTTCTGTCCCTCTGTCCGTGCGTCCCACAGGAGGAGCTGCAGCACGGACAAGTCCCCGGGCTCAGGCTCGGTGGGCTCGCCCGCGTCCCAGCGCAAGGACATCGGTCGCTCCGAGTCGTTGCGCGTCGTCTCCCGCGCCCATCGCATCTTCCGCCCTTCCGACCTGATCCACGGCGAGGTGCTGGGCAAGGGCTGCTTCGGCCAGGCCATCAAGGTGGGGCTGGGTGGCCACAAGCGTCACCAGCGTGAGGGTCTCAGCTCCTTGGGGTGTTGCGGGGGGGGTATTGTCTTACCTGGGGTGTCCCCAGAGGTGGGGGTGGCAGCGGGGAGCCGTGGCTCAGTCCCTGCCCTCCCTGCCAGGTGACACATCGAGAGACAGGCGAGGTGATGGTCATGAAGGAGTTGATCCGCTTTGATGAGGAGACGCAGAGGACCTTCCTCAAAGAGGTGAGCATCCCCTTTCTTTGATCCCCCTGGTTTGCAGGGGGGACACGAGGGATGGGGCTGTCCCATCCCATCCCCCACCCCACATGGGGTGCTGGGCATGATGCCTGGAGCAGGGCTGGCCAGACACCATGGGGTGCAGACAGCCCTGGCTGTTTCATGGAGCACATGTGGGCAGCGGGTCTGCCCAGGTGGGAGTTGGGTGCCTCGGGGTGTCACGGGTACGGGGGGGTCCTGCAGGTGAAGGTGATGCGCTGCCTGGAGCACCCCAACGTGCTGAAGTTCATCGGGGTGCTGTACAAGGAGAAGAGGCTCAACTTCATCACGGAGTACATCAAGGGGGGCACCTTGAGGAGCCTCATCAAGAGCATGGTGAGCACTCTGGGGGGAGCAGGTCAGCCTTGGTGGGGACCTCTCTCCTTTCTCCTCTTCTCTGGCAAATCCCCCCTCCTGCCCCCAGGACAGCCACTACCCCTGGAGCCAGCGGGTCAGCTTCGCCAAGGACATTGCTGCTGGAATGGTGAGTGCTGCCAGCGGATGGATGGGTGGGATGGGTGCTGGTGGGTGGGGGACTGTGGGGTTGGGGTGCCCCCCTGCTCTCAGCCCATCCTTCCCCCAGGCCTACCTCCACTCCATGAACATCATCCACCGTGACCTCAACTCTCACAACTGCCTTGTGCGGGAGGTGAGTCCCACCTCAGTGGTGTCCCCCCCAGCCCAGGTGGGGGTCTCAGCCCCCAGTGTGGCTCCCTCCCCGCCTCACTCCTCTCCATCCACCCAGAACAAGAGTGTGGTGGTGGCCGATTTTGGGCTGGCACGGCTGATGGTGGATGAGAAGAACCAGCCTGAACATCTCAAGAACCTGAAGAAACCGGATCGGAAGAAGCGGTACACAGTGGTGGGGAACCCGTACTGGATGGCCCCTGAGATGATCAATGGTGAGCCTGGTTGCAGTGCTGGGAGAGGGGACACGGCCAGCCAGGGCTCTGTCCCCAAGCAGGGGACACTCGGTGGGGTAGGGACAGGACATGCAGCATAGCTTTACCCATCTCTCCCCACAGGGAGGAGCTACGATGAGAAGGTGGACATCTTCTCCTTCGGCATCGTCCTGTGTGAGGCAAGTAATGTGGGGTTGGGGTCTTCCCACTGGGTTTGGGGTTCTCATTGGGGTTGAGGCTTCCAGCTGAGGTCTCCCCATTAGGATTGGGGTCCTCAATGAGGTTGAGGTCTCCAGTTGAGGTCTCTCCGTTGGGCTTGGGGTCTCCCCTTCGGTTGAGACCTCCAGTTGAGGTCTCCCCATTGGGGCTGGGATCTTCCATTGGGTTTGGGGTCCTCACTGGGGTTGAGGTTGGACTTGGGGTTCTCATTGGGTTTTGGTTCCCCTCTTGGGGCTGAGCCTGCTCTTCCTGCTCTCCCCTAGATCATCGGCCGGGTGAGCGCTGACCCCGACTACCTGCCCCGCACCACTGACTTTGGCCTCAACGTCAGAGGCTTCCTGGACCGCTACTGCCCCCCCGCCTGCCCCCCCAGCTTCTTCCCCATCGCTGTCTGCTGCTGCGACCTGGACCCTGAGAAGCGGTGAGTGGTTGGGGTCCCTCCCGGGGGACCACTGGGGCTGGTGGGGGGGCTGCTATAGAGGTGGGGGGACACATGGGGCCAGCGGAGCTGTCATGTGTCCCACCTTCTCACCCAGGCCGTCCTTCAGCAAGCTGGAGCAGTGGCTGGAAACCCTCCGCATGCACCTGGAGATCCACCTGCCGCTGAGCTCCCAACTGGAGCAACTGGACCGAGCCTTCGGGGAGACACACCGGCGGGGGGAGGGTGGACTGCCCACAGCCCCCCGATCGAGACCCCCCTACCTGCACCCCCTCTGAAGCCGCTGAAGGGAGAAGGAGCTGCACCTGCCGCCAGCATCTCCTCTGGCTGCCACCACCACCCCCGGGGCTGGATCCCGGGGGCTCCCCAGATGAGCCCCCCGACCCCATCTCCTCTGCACGGGCTGCCCTCACCCTCCCTGGGAGCTGGCTCTCCCCTGTGCATCCCCCCCCCCACCATAGCTCTTGCCCCCAGGACATGCCCAGCTGGCCACACCGTGGGGACCATGTCCCCCAGTTCCCCCCGCCCCGGCTCGCTTCGCCTTTGCACGCCCGGGGGCTGCGTGGCTGCAGCCCCCCCCGAGCCCCGGGGGCTCCCCCCGTACAGAGCCGCGGCCTCGCGGCGGTGCCTTGGCTTTCCCTGAACTTGCACTGCGACAGGAGGGACACCCCGGTTCCTTCGGGGGGGGGAGGTACGTGGTCCATGGGGCCCCCCTGGGGGAACACGGGTCTCGGGGCAGCCTCGTAGCAATGCCCTCGTCCTTGGCCGGACCCTCTCACGCTGCTTCTACCGGCACCCCGGGCTCAGGGGGCTGCCGGCACCCCCCGGCCGAGCGAGGGGGCTGTGGTTGGGACACACACACCCCCACCCCATGGCATGGGGACAAGTACGTAGCGGTCCCCACTGCCCCCACGTCCCCGCTGCCCGTGCTAATCCGTGACCGCGCATCCCTGGGGACGGCGCCGGGTGGTCCCAGAGGGATGCGGGGGTGCGGCTCGTCTTGGTCCCCTTGACCTGGGGTGGTTGGGGGAAGGGGGTTGCGCCACGCGGTGCTTTTCATGCTCTTTATTCAGGTTCATTTTTCTGTAAGATATTTAAAGAGAAGAGTTTGTATTATTTTTTCATACGACGTAGCGTTTGCCATTTGTCACTGCCTCGGTTCTGCTTTCCCGAAGGGATGAAACTGTGAAGCCTCTCCGCGCACTTTTGCCCGGGAAGTCCAAGGCGACGTCCTCTCCGGAGGCGGGAAGGGAGCTCAAACTGTGATGTACCCCGAGCCGTGAGTCAATAAATCCTTCCCTGCTCGCTGCCCGGCCTGCTTGGGAATCGCTCGCCTCCCCCGGGGGGGCTGGAGGCTCTTGGGGAAACTGAGGCAGGAGGGGCTGGACCCTCTGCTCGGCACCGTGCGGTGGTAGCGGGCTCGGTGGCATCCCCCCGGCTCGGTCACCCCTGTGGTGGCAGCACTGTTGTCCCTCCTTTGTGCTGTTCCCACCCCATCGTGGGTGTCCCCCCCCACAGCCCTGGGGCTGATGCCACCATCCCTGGCTGGGCCCCTACGACCCCCAAGCCCCGTGTCCCCTCCCCGCCTGCTGTGTCCATTGCCACCCCACATGATGGCAGAGCCCAGGGTGGTGCCAGGCTATGGAGCTGCCTTGGGTGCCATGGAGCAGCTCTACCTTCGATGTAAAACAAAGCCCAGGGGACACCAAGGTGGCCCGTGACCCACACAGTGGTGGCCCGTGGTCATCCTGTGCTGTCCCTCTGTCCTTGTCACATTCCTAAACCAAATTAAGGTCCCCAAGGTGGGGGATCTCCACCCTCAGAGGGGTTCGAGCTTTGTCCAGAGAAAACCTGGATCCTAAGGAGAAAACCATCCCCAAGGATGTCCCCAGGGATGCTGCAGCTGGGAGAGGAGGGGACAATGCATTCCCAAGGGGTCCTGGCATCCAGGCTGGACCCCCCCCATGGGGAAGACCTTGTGGGTTATTGCTCTGGGAATGCTCAGCCTCAGCATGGGGGGCTCAGGGAGGTTGGGGAGGTGACTGGCTGCCTGTCATCTGGCTGCCTGTCCCACATCACCCTGGAGAAGGGAGAAGGATAAACACCCTGCTGGGGTCATGGTGCTGTCACGGCACCCTTGGTGACATCACACCACGCTGGTTCTTTGCTCTGGGAGCAGGACACCATTGCTCCCCAGGAACATCGGGGAGGGGGGGGCTCTCACCCCTGGGAAACACCATGGTCCCCAAGTCCCCCCAGCCACAGGAGAGCAGGACCCCGACGGACCCCCAGCCCAGTAGCGGGAGTCCCCCATCCCCATGGGACCCCCACAGCTCCTCGCCCAGCCGGATGGAGCTGCTGAGCGGGATGTGGCTGGTGCAGCCAGTGCCATCAGGCCACTTGCTGGTGGCCCTGCAGAGGACCCTCACCACCGGGCAAGGGAAGAGCCCGGCGAGAGCTGGCAGCCAGCCACCACAGGGCCAGAGCGGTGGCCACTCAGTCACCCCCATGACCAGCGACTCGTCTGGGAACCCCCCCTCACCAGGCAGCGAGGTGGCCCCAACACAGCCCCAGTTGCCCCACGCCACAGCCGTCCCCCAGCCAAAGCCCCCCCAGGGGAGGGCACAGCACCCCGTGTCCAAATCCAGCCGCCGGCGCGTGCGGCACCCGGTGGCAACCTGGCAGGGCTCCTGGCCACCACCATCCTCCCCTGATGCCAGGGTGGGGGGCTCAACACCCAGCTGTCTCCTCCAGCCGTCACCTCCCAGCAGGGACAAGGGCACCCAGACCAGGCCACAGGCCACCGAGAGCTGTCCCCGTGCCTCCTCTGCCCCCCAGGATCCCACCGTGTCCCCATGCGAGGTGGTGCCCAGCGATGTCCCCAGCAGGGCTCTGCCCAAGCTCAACCCCGACTCGGTGTGGTGGCCCTTGCTGCAGGAGGGTAGCCAGGTGTCCCCAGGTCCCATGTCCCCCCTGTCAGGCCAGCAGCCCGAGGTGGTGGCCAAAGGCGCCTGTGGCTCTGGCAAGGACACGGCTGAGCCACCGCTGCTGGGCAGAGCCTCCCCCACCGTCCCCCCACACAAGGCCCAGACCAAGAGCTCCAGCTGCGATGATGAAGATGAGCCATCATTCACCAGGTTTATCACCTTCTTCGTGGGTAAGTTTGGGTGATGGGGTGGGAGGGAGAGTGTGGCTTCCCCCGGCATCTCAGCAGGGTGGGCACTGGTGCTGAGGGGACCCTCCTGCAGGGACAGTAGCTGCCTGTGGGCAGGGGGGTGACGGGCAGTAGGGTGCTTATGAGGTTTGAAGAGATGTGCAGAGAGGAGGTGCTGGGATCTGGTCAGGGCATCCAGCTCCATAGGGATGTCTGAAGCCAGAGAGAAGGGTGCTGGGATCCCACCAGGGTGCCCAGCTCCATAGGGATGTGGGGAGCTCAAGAAGAGTTGCTAGGGTCACACTATGGTGCTAAGCACCACAGGGACATGGGGAGCTGGAGAGGGGTTATTGGGGGTCTAGACAGGCTGTCCAGCTCCACAGGGCCTTGGGGACAGGTCCCTATCCTTGGCTGGAGGAAGGCTCACCCACACTGGAGGATCTTCTGGCAGGAGGTGGCAGTGGGGCCTCTGGAGCCCTTTCCACCACATTTAGTGGCTCTGCCCATTGCTGCTTTGGGCAGAGGCTGGACTAGAGCTGATCTGAGACCTCTCCTGTCCTACACCCCCCTGACCCACCATCCTGCGCCTGGTCCTTCAGGGTCTCCATTGTGGTTGGCACTGTCCCCAGAGCAACCATTTGTCCCCTGAGCACAGCGTTCATCCTTCCAGCTCAGGACCAGGGACTTTGCATGGTCCAGGAGCAGCTTGAGCCCTTCTTCTGTGCTGTGGGCAGAGCAGTGTCACTGTCACAGCCCCATGTCCCCGCTGCAGCAGCCTGGGCTGGGACAGGAGCCACCTCCTCGGGTTGCGCATGTCACCAGGACCTGGTGGCTCCGTGGGGCAAATCCAGACCCCAGAAACCCCCGTGGGGCACCGAGGATGATGCTGGTGGTTTGGTACCCACCTGCCTCAGTTTCCCCTCCTGCTTGGGCTGGATTTGGGGAGGGGAAGAAGGGGCCATTTCTCCAGCTCCCTGTGTCATGTCCCCCACCCAGAAGGGACTGATGAGAGACCAACGGCCTCTGGTCCCTGAAGGGTGATGCGTGTCCTGGGCAAAGCCGGGCAGCGAAACCTGGGGGGTCCACACATTGCCCCCTCAATTGCTGGCAGTTTTTGTAGGGTCTACATAAACATGGCGTTTTTAAATGAGCCCCAGGGATGTTGCTCTCCCGTGCTTCCCTGCAGCATCGCTGCCTTCCCCAATCCCCCACCTGCCAAATGGGGACACATGGGTCCCCTCCCTGATCCGGCTGGTGATTGTGGAGGGGGGACACAAGGGCCTGGGGGTGGGAGACAGCCAGGGGGAGGCCTGGGGGGGGGGGCACTGGAAAACCTCAGTCGCTTCTGATGGGAAAACTTGTTTCTCCTGGGTCCTGCTGCCGTCCTCCACCGGCTCCGTCCTCCACTGGCTCCGGTGCGAACCCCTTCCCGGGCACAGCTGTGGAGGAGAAGGTAAGCGATGGGCTGGGGGCTGGGGGGGTGGAGCTTGGGGTGACACTGGGGCGCTCCTCATTTCCCCTGTGCCACCAGGTCCCCAGGCCTGGCACCGGAGATGGGCAGCACCGGCCGGTGATTCCTTTGCAAAGAGTTTGTTGGGGCTGGTGACGTGTGATGAGTTGTGGGAGGGCTCAGCAGGGGGGAGGGCCACAAGGCAGGAGGCTTGGGCCATGCTGTGGCTTGGGGTGGGACCTCCTCCTGGGCTTGTGGGTTTGGATGGCTGTGACTCTCTGTCCCCACTGCTGTGCCACTATCCCATGGAGCTCACCCTGTGAGGAGCTGGGACTCGCTGGACACAGGGGAGTGTGGCCCCCAACAGCCCCCAGACCCCCCCTACCCCCATAGGGGACTGGAGCTACCTGGAGAGAGACAGCCTGGGGGGCTTGGAGCAAGGATGGGGTGACCCTGGCGCATGGGTCTTGGGGAGACTGGGAGACCCCAGAATGTGGGTTTAGGGGGCTGGGAGACCCCGGCAGGGGGGTTTAGCCCCAGGACTTGTATTTGGGGCTATTTGCTGCCTTGCAGGGGTCCAGCACGGGTTATGACCCGGGCTCTGCTCATGGCCAAAAGGTGGGAATCAAGCTTTTGGGGTGCCAAAGACCCTCAGCACACCTGGACCCCATGGTCAGGATGGCTGGAGCAGATCTCGGGGGGTACCATGGGGTGCACAGTGTAGTTTATCCTCTCCCTGCTGGGAAAAATGAGTTTATTCCCAGCTTGGAGGCTGTTTGGCTGCTTCAGAGATGGGAAAGTGCAGCCTCCCTGCCCAGCTGCCGCCTCTGCCTGTCCTTCAGGGTGGTTTCTGGGGTGGACCCTGTGGGGCTTTGTCCCCTGGGACACTTTATCTGGAGCAGCGGTGAGGTGCTCCACTCTGGCCAGCATTCCTCAGCCCGGCCTCCGCGCTGGGAAGGCCCCAAAACTGGACCCGTTGCAACAGAAAGAGCTAAAAATAGCCGTTCTCACAGCAGATGCAGAAAAGCATCCGAATACGCGGCCTCTGAACCTGCCAGCGGCCCAGGACGGGGCCGACCCCCCCAGCCCCCTCCCATGCCCAGCAGCCACCCTGCAGCCTATCCCACCCCAAATCTCCCCCCACTGACTCCTGCCTTTAAACCCCCTCCCTGTGCACAGCCATAAGGACCCTCCTTGAGCTGGGGCAATGCTGGGGGC